AGACAGAACTCATCTGCGGGCCACATTTTGCCCGCGGGCCTTGAGTTTGATACTAGTTTAGAGACGGTGAGAAGAAATGAAGAATTTATATTAAAACATGGACAAAGAAAACTAAACAAAGAAGAAAAGAAAAACATTTCAACAGGTGATGTTGGCGGCTGAAGTATTTCTGTTTTTAGTTTTCATAAGAGACAATGAAACACTGGAGGAACAATGTTGATTCTAAAAATAAATTCATGACAGATGCATCAGTTATTGATATTTAAAGAAATTTCCACTATTGTTTTATAAAAAAAAAAGCCCGTCTTGTGAAAAAAAATAAGCAGTTGTAAAGAAAATAATTTTATTCCCGGCTCATGGTGTCAAAACTTGATTAATGAGAAAACTAGAATCTTATTATGCACCGCCACAATAAAAGCATCAAAAGCTAGTAGTTGAGCTTCACTGTGTGCATGTTTCTGTTAGCAAAATATTTACAACACAACACAATGCTACACGCTCGTAGTTCAGAAACTTAGCTTTTCTTTGCTGTATCATTCATTCAAAACCAAACCAGGGTGCAAATTATCTCCCCTAAAATCCATTCTTACTCAAAAGCCAATTTAACTCTTATTACCCTCATCTGGCTTCGTTAACGGCGTTTTTCTAACTCCTGTGAACACCAGAGAGCTCATTTTTATTCTGCAGCGGTCCAAAACCACGAATGTTTTTCAATTTGGCTCCAATAAACAGAGACGTCCTCAGATGTATTTTTCTCCAGCACTGTTCTCGTTTTCTGATCCTCCATCTGGGAAATCTGAGCTGCTCTTTCATCAGCGTGGAGCAGCTAGTTAGTCCCTGCCGTGACGTGACTGGAGTTTCAACACCGGTTGGAGGTTTTTCCCTGAAGCACTGAAACATTTAGGAGTTTTTGCTTCACATGAATCATTTTGAAAACAGTAGGACCCAGTAGATTATTTATTGTTTACTGTGAGGAATCCAATGTTCTTCTCTGGAAACACTGACGAGTTTTTGTTTTTGTTTATTTTACAGGAGGTCCAGGAGTTCATGACCCGTGTGAGAGGGAACCCAGAGACGTCTTGTCTGACCTCAGCGCCCAGCAGGCTGATGCCATCACTCACAGCGCCCAGGTCAGTCCACGGCACGCCTTCCTGAGGCTTTATTGTGTCAAACATTCAGATTATTTTACCTTCCTTACGACTTTTAGCACATATCTCCTTCTGCAATTAATATACCAAAACATTCAGGACATTTCAGCTACTTTGTATTTCAGCTATTTGTATTTTTTTGGATATTCAGCTTTTTCTGACATTTTATTTGTTTTTTACATCCTTCACCTTTTGGTCTTGTTCTGCTTTTTAAGCTTCTTTGTGTAATTTTAGCTTTTTTTGCTCATTTTAGCTGTTTTTTTAGTTGTTTTTTTTTTTTTGCATTTTTGGCTATTTTTGCAACTTTCTGTTAATATTGGCTTTTGTGTTCTTTTTTTACTTTTTAATGTTAATTGAAGCTTTTTGAGCTCATTTCAGCTTCATTATTCATAATTTTAGCTGCTTCTTTCATTTTCAGTTATTTTTGCAACTTCTTTCTGCTAATATCAGCTTTCTTGTGCTTCTTTTACTTCTTACTGTTGAAGCTTTTTGAGCTCATTTGAGCTTCATTCGGCTGTTTTTATTTTTTCTGACTTTTCAGCTACTCTTTAGTTGTTTTTGCTAAATTGAGAGTCGTTCAGCTAATTTCATATTTTAGTGATCTTTTTAAGACTTTTTCTGTGTAATTTAACAAATGTGACTCCCTCAGTTTCTTTCTGCTAATTTCAACCTTTTTATTTTTTTGGCTAATTTTAGCTTTTACTTCTTACTGTTGAAGCTTTTTGTGCTCTTTACAGCTTCATTCTGCTGTTTTATATTTTCTGACTTTTCAGCTACTCTTCAGCTATTTTTGCTAAATTGAGTCCTTCAGCCAAATTCATATTTTGGTGGTCTTTAAAGCTTTGTTTGGCTTAATTCAGCAAATGTGACTCCTTCAGTTTCTTTCTGCTAATTTCAGCTTTTTTTTTTATTATTAGCCTTTTTCAGCTAAATTCACCTTTTTGTGATCATTTTAGCTCCTTACTGCCTAATTAAGCAAACATGCACTCTTTTAGTGATGACCGCAGCAGCTCATTTTAAAGTCACAAAATAAAAGGCGAAGGTCACGTGTGTCTCGTTTTTCTGCATGTTTACCTTCTTTTGTTAAAATTTCAGTTTTATTATTATTTTTTAAATATTTTGCTCAAACATTTCTGCTTTTTAAGCTACATTTTTGCAAATATTTACTATTTTCTGCTAACTTTAGATACGTTTCTGCTTTATTCAGCTTTTTGGACACATTTTTGCTGTTTTTCTACTGATTTTTTTCACTTTTGTTTCCCTACTTTCAGCAAATGTCAGCTGTTTAAATTGAACTCACATTAAAACCTTTTCAGTTTGACCTCAGCAAAAATATTTCAGCATTAAGCATTTACAGGAAATGCAAATTCTGCAGTTAAATGTTTAAATGGACTAAAACCCCTGAGACTAAAGTGATGTTTATACACCTCTCAGGTCTTTAAGGTTTTTCACATTTAAACTGAAGCGCCCCCTCAGTGCTGCTTTTCCCACACTACCTACGGAATTAGATTTTAGAAGCGTTTTACATCCATAATTTGCATCTGCTCAGGCTCCGTCGACCCCCTCAGGGCTTTATAAAAGCTCTCTTCCTGTTTTCTTGCTATTAAGCCAGTTGCATATGTTTCATTTAACAGAGGGCACTCATTAGCTGCACTGATTAAGAACCAGTCCACCTGGGTGTGCTTCCTCCCCGCCCGCTGCACCCAAGTCAGCATTTTTCTGCGTCAGCCGCTGCAGCAGGAAGAAACACTACCGGGCTGTTTACCGGAGAGTTATTTAAAGCCAGTCCTCTGAAGCCACACATGTCAGCAGTATAAATAGCTGAGTGTCCGCAGAAAAACGAACTCTGACCTCGGTCTGCGGAGGCCTCTGCCTAATTAGCCGTCCGGCGAGCTCTGTTTCACGCCACGGATCAACAAAATCCTCCCCCACCAGGCAGAAACCGTGGGCTCGGTTAATAAGAAGACTGACTTCATTTCTTTCAGAGAACACAGCGAAAGCAGCCGAGATTAAACCGAGGATGTTTTTCTGTATTTGTGTGTGAAAATACAGAAAAATATTGTTTATAAAATGTGATTTTTCCCCCCCTGCTGAATTAGTAGGTTCACACAGAACACAGAGCTGCTCCCTCAAGTTTCTGGGATGATTAAAGCGTATCGATTGGAAAATAATTGGTAGCTTTGCTGCCTGTTTACTTCTTTTACTCTCCTGTGTGCACTGGAGGGTTTCTAAGCACTGCGGTGACGCGTCCTTATTCTTTTTTCTGTGTTTCAGCACGCGTTACGCCTTGTAGCATTCGGACAGCTTTACAAGGTCCTGAATATGGATCCTCTGCCTGCCAGCAAGCCCTGCCCAAGGCTGTTAGAAGGTCTGTGTTCAGGTGTTTCCTGTGTGTGTCCGTGTGGAGGAGTTTATCTTTATGATTGTGATCACGTGTTTCTGCAGGCGGCTGTCTGAAGAGGCTCCGGGAGGATGTGGGCTCTGAAGACAGAGACTTCCTGAAAAGGATGAAAGGTAACTTTGTTTCTCCTCTGACACACAGGAAGTGATTCAGCTACCTCCGGTCAAATCCTCCAAATATTCCCTCTGTTTGTTTCATTTGAAATCATTGTCCTGCTGAAATGTTCACATCAAAACTGCCTGGAGATTAATGTCTGGTTCACGTGGAAAGATTTTTAAATTTTTGGTGGATTTTCAAAGACTAAGGGCCCCCGCACAAAACGATTAAAAAAATCATAGATTAGGGCTAATCAACTGGTGGCCCGTGGGCTGGATGTGGCCCGCAGATGACCAAAGTCTGGCCCGCCAATTGGTTCATTATTATCAAAAGCCCAAACCACTGGTTTTCTATTTTAATTACTATAAGTTAATTTGGTTCTTATAGTTCAACAGACATATATCTACAGAAACGTCAGAATCTTGGTTAGAAGTTAAAAAACATTTCTATCAACATCGAAAACAAAACTACAAGCAGCTGAAGATAAAACCAAAATTAGTAAAAATAAAATTGTTTAAAAATTTGGAAAGTCAAGTATTAAATAGGCATAATGTGCTGTTTTTGTTTTTGATGTTTGTTATCACTACACAGGGTTCTGTATGTTGTATTCATGATTAAATGCAGCTAAATAAGGTAATTCAAAGGTAACAGATCTTTGTAATGCTTGGTTTATTTGCATAAGGACTTTAACTTGTGGATGTTCGGCCCCTGAGCTGTCGGCCTGCACTGAGCTATTTAGTCGAATAGCCCCATCATGGATATAACAGGTTTGGTCTTACAGATTTCACTCACAAACGTTCAGATGCCCAACAGGAAATCTCGCAAAACCTCTCGACATCAAACATGAGTTCAGAGTAAATCAACATTTACCCACGAGGAAGAACCAACAAAACAAAAGACGTAGACGTCCACCGGGCTTTTTGGTGCTACGTGGCAGTTATTTTGGATTCCCTCCGTGTTTACGTCACCTTGCTTTCTGATTGGCTGCTCGTCACATTCAACAGGCTGTGAGCTCGTTTGTCCTCGATGGGACACCACACACGCTGGGAGACCGGGCCAAGACAACGCTGAAAAACCGAGCGGTCCTGATATCCGCTAGATCAGGGGTTCTTAATCTTTGTGACCTTGGGGCCCAATTTATTGAACATAAAGTGACACGAGGCCCAGTCAGACATTACTAATGTACGGATCAAAATGAGTATTGTATTTGGATTATAACTAAATTAAATTAGATTATAACTAAATTAAATACACTTACAGTTTAAAAGTAAAACTCCTGTCAAATAATCACAAGACATGATAAGGACAAACATTTTTTATATTGTAACCTGCCTATAACAATTATTTGAACAAATACAATGGTCAACACAAAAAATAACATTTTTTAACAAAGAATAACAAAAACAGACAATTCAGTAAATAAAATTGTGGTCATAAAATAAATACATTCAAAATGTTCAATGTTTCAAATAAAAAATGTAAAAATAAATTTGATAAATTGCAAATGAAAATATAGCCTTCTTAAGCTTTTGCATGGTAGAACCAGAAGCTGCTTCATATTAGTGACAAACAATAACAGTAACAACAGTTTGTTGACAAGTTTAAAGTTTCTTTAAAATACATTCAAAATTTTTAATAATAAACTACAAAAATTAATTTGATATAGTGCAAATTAAAATATAGCTGTATCTGCAACTTTATTTGATAATCTTTGAACTTTTAAAATATTGCATGGTAGAACCAGAAGCAAAAAGCTAACAGTGTTAGCTGCTAGTAAACATTAATGTAGGAGGCACAAAGCTAACATTGTTAGTTTTTAGTAAACATTAATNGTTTCAAATAAAAAAACTAAAACTAAATTAGATAAAGTGCAAATGACAATAAAGCCATTTTAAACTTTTGCATGGTAGAACCAGAAGGTGCACTTCATATTAGTGACAAACTTTGGTCTGTTTTGACGGGTTGCCTTCATTTTTTCATTCTACTTTTAGTTTGAAAAGGTTTCCATTCTCGGCAGGTTTCTAAGGTTCTTCGTCTACGTATTAAAAAGTTGTTAAACATCTGAGTGGCGCACTACCACCACTAGTGGTGAGAAAATGTATTGCACCTTATTAAAAATCAACGCGGTCCTGAGGCCCTCAAGGTGGCGCTCGCGGCCGCTGCCCGTGGGTTAAGAATTTCTGCACTAGATCACTCTGACACACCACACACATCAGGAAAAGGTCATCAGATTATCTTTAGAGCCAGATTATCTTTTGGTCCTTTATTTATTTCAAAGTTGCATTAAAAAAAAGTCTTAAAATGCATTAAATTTGACTTTCTGAAACCTGCAGATACCCTGGATGTGATGTTATCGGGTTGTACCAAGTGAATCTAACTGTGTTTTCTGCAAAAACAAAAAATAAAATTAAGAATATTGTCTGAAACCCTCTCTGGTCAGACACTACATTACATGGAGACAGGCAGAAAAAATCGGTGTCTAATAGCAGCAGATAAGTGGATATTGACTGAGGACTTTGTCAGGACAGAAGGGTTGTTGTGTGTGTGTCGAACGTGTCTAAACACCCTCTGACTGTAAACAAGCTGCTGTTCAGCAGGCTTTGTGTAGAAAGCTGGAAAAACGAATCGGTGGAGCCTAAAGAGCTTTTCTTAGAAATCAGGACGATCAGCTGTGACGGAACAAATGAGACCGTTGGGTTTAAAAGTATCAGTGCTCTTTTCAGTGATTGTGGGCATCTGAGGAGAGAAAATCACCTGAGCCCACCTGAGTTTGACTCGTCACAGACTGAGATCTGGTATCTCCACAGGATCAGATTGTAGATCCGGATGACGGGTTCAGCTTATTGCATTGAACAAAGTCTCTGAGCTGCACGAAACCACTGACAAAGGAGTTAATATCCTCTCAGCCGTAAACCGAGGTGAGTTGTATCCCTGGAAGGAGAAGTTAGGGTGAAGTTATCAGATTTCCTCTGAGCTGTGAGCAGACAGGAACACTCCGAGTTCATCGGGAGTCGATCAGCTCCTGTGTTCGGGTCAGGAAACATCTGTCGGTGACTTGTGTCCGGGAACAGGGCTCGCTGCATCGGGACAGGCTGATCTGGATCGTTTTTCCTGCTGAAAATCAAATCGTCTTCCCGCTGAGCCCAAACCAGCTGGAATGGTGTTCATCCATGACACTCGACCCACAGCGTCACACCTGCTTTATGCTGAACGATGGAAACTTCCTCTCATCAGAGCAGGTTTCTGTTCTCTGCTGCACAGAGAGCAGAAACTGTTTACAACACAAACTGATTTACTGAGCAAAACAAAGTGCACAATATTATCAACTAGAGCAGTAGTTCCCAAAGGTGGGGTTGGGACCCACACTGGGGTCCCAAAACATCAAGGTGGGGTCCTGAAAACATTTTCTGAATTAATTATAGTAGAAAATAACTTTTTTTGCCTTTGTTGTTACAAAAGAGTAAATTTAGTTTATTAAAATGGACAATAACATAATGAATATTGTTGCTATGCTCTTTTTTTACATGAAAACAATGTTTATCATCTAAGAACAGCTGGGGGCTCAGGTCTCTGCTGCTGGTACTTTGAGGGTCAAAATCTGAAAAGTTCGAGAACCACTGAACTACAGAATTTAGATTTGAATTCTTAAAGCAGAAAGATTTTTGCAGAAAAAAAAGAAACAATGTACAAAGGTTTTGCAAAAAAAATTGCAGATAAGTTGCTGAAAGAAGTGGCTAAAATTATCACAAAAATGTGACTACAAAGGCTAAAATTAGCTGTAAATAGCTACAAAGTAGCTTAAATTGCTGAAAACAGCTGAAGTAAGCATGGAAAGCTTAAATTAGAAACAAACTTGATAAAAGTGCAAAAAATTAAATTTTCAGAATAACTGAAAACAGCAGAAAGATGCAAAAGAAATAGCTAATATTATCAAAAAGAGAAGGTAAAATTAGCACAAATAAGTTAAAAAGCAGAACCAGAACAAAAGATGTAAAGTGCAGAAATAAGGATGCTGAAGTCAGCTCCAAATGAAAACAAAAATGACCAAAAAAAGCTAACAAACTCAAAACGTATAAAGTGCTGAAATACCAAAGGTCATAGCTGGAATGTCCTGAAGGAGCCAAACGTTTCATATATGAACTGTTGAAATAGAACAAAAACTGTAGCATGTTTGTTTTAGATTGTGAAGTGAAAACAAATGGCAACAGAATTTAAAATTATATTTCATGAAAGTAGTTTTTTGTTGCCAGCTTTCATGAAAAGTAGCCATCATGTTAAAGTGTTAACGCTTATAAAACATTCACACTTATGTGATTATTTTTCCTTTCTTACATTTTTATGTTTTGCACATCTTATTCTGCAGTTTCTGTGCTGTTTCAACAGTTTATAAATCGAAATGTTCAGCTCCTTCATTCCAGCTATGACCTTTTGGTATTTCAGCACTTTATACTTTTTGAAATATTCAGTTTTTTCTGCCGTGTTTTTCTCATGGAAAATGAATATAGCTGTTTTCAACATCTGTAAAACCTTCAAAATGTTCATAAATTTTACTGAACTTTTGTTCTGGTTTTAATGTCTGTGCTCACTTCACCTTCCTTTGGCTTCTATTTAGCTGATTTTGGCTTTTTTTCTGCTTTTATAACAATTATTCTGACCTTTTCTGCTATTCTTCAGCTAATTTAAGCTTTTTTGTGCTACTTTCAGCTTCTGCCTCTCATTTCAAGCTTTAAATGCTTCTTTCAGCTGATTTTTACTAATTTCAGTTGTTTTCTGTGAGCTTTAGCTAATATTTTGCTACTTTTTTGAGCAAAGTTCACCTTTTTTATGAAAATTTCAGCTTCTTACTTAATGTAGCAAACTCTTTCTGTTTCTTTGTGCTACTAGCTAGTTTCAGCTACTTTTTAAAGCTATTTTAGATTAAATTTAGCTTTTCAGCAAAAACCTTTCAGCTTTAACCATTCAGTTTTCTAGTTACCCGTGTTTGTTAGCAAAATATTTCATGAAGCAGATAAACTGGGTGAATTTTAATAAATTCTGAGATTAATCATCAGATTATCTACAACTCAAGGTTTGTGTTATTTACCTTCTAACAATAGAAAACAGCTACAGTTCAGCTGACCTTAGAAAACACAGAAATGTTTCTAATGATGTGAATTTTACAGATATTGAGCTGAAACCTGAAGGAGCAGCTGAGTCATTCAAAACAAACTGATCTGATTGAACGTATTGATCAGAATATTAGAGCTGTTTGCAGCAAATGTTTCGTTTGTATCACAGCAAACTATTTAGTTTAAAAACATTATTTAAATTGTGTTTTAGGGAACAACCGGTTAATATTTTATGTTTTTATTTTACGGCAGCAGTTCTGCTTTCACTATATTCATATATAATAAATTTCTGCCTGTTTTCCTGCAGAAGATATGTTTTATAAGTTTTATTTGTGAAAACGGAAAAATGAAAATAATTATTTGCTGCTGTGAACTGTGGGTTTATCGTCGTCCTAACACTCCACCCACACCCCCAGCTGCCCTCCGGTTGTGTCTGTCGGGGTCTCAGTAATTAAATCGAGCCTCTCTGGGACGATCGTCTCCGGCAGAACTCGTCTGCTTCCCGTTCAAAGGAGGTGACGAGAGGTGGGAGCCGTCAGGGATTAATACTGCTGCAGCCACGCAGTTATCTGCTGGCCCCTTCCTGACACGCACACACACACACACACCACACACACACACACCACACCACAC